ACACCGACTATCACGAGCCTAGGTCGAGCCGTTTAGATTTGTGCCGCAATTCTGCATTTCCTCCCTATACCTTAAGTTAAGAAGGGAATGTTCCCCCTTCATTTACACCTCTTGACCTTTGACCTTTGACCCCCAGCTTCGACATCCCAACTCGTTTTCGGATTACCCCCCCACGTCCCGAATATCGTGACCGTACGTCGAGCGGTTAAGATTTGTGCCCAACTGTTGACGGACGGACGGACGCACGGACGGGCGCACGGACGGACGATCATGCGATTCTACAAGCTGCATCTGACTACTACGTCAGATGAGCTAAAAATGCTAACTCCTAGCAGAAATGACTGTTTGAGCACCAGTTTTAGTTTTTCAAATACACGGTTCATATCGACAATTCCTGATTCCAATTTCCAACCCTAAGGCTTGTGATCAGAAGATGCCTTCGAGGCATTTTCAAAATTCAATTCTAGAGGAGGGACTGTAAAATTGCCAACCAAAAAATAAACCCGGTGTTTCTCATTAGCAGTACCATCCATTTAATTAGTTATTTTTGGTACATATGATTGATTAATCCCCACAAGCATACCCTCAAGGTCTCAAGTTATGTGTCAGATTCATGGAGATATATATATATTTCTGGTTTGACATATAGCTGTATTGTGCGTGCGTGCGTGCGTGCGTGCGTGCATGAGTATACGCACAATGATATAATAATCGTAGATCACCTGTTATCGAAAATATAATGTTCCTTCTTACCACTGTCGAATGTTTCTTTTTTAGGCTTGATGATGTCCGAGAGAATTGTGCTGTCTCTTCCAAACTTGGATCTGCATAAAAAATAATGGTAAAAATGTTACAGTACTACTATTTACTACTACGGGGCATGTAACGGAAGAAAACTTAGTGATGGTTTATCCCTGTATTACAATAGTTGCAATATTGAGCAAAAATTGAAAGCATCAAATGCTCAAGAAGTAATAGTAAAAAATGAAAAAGTAATAGCTATACAACTATTTGACTAGTTTAAAAATACACTGTAAGAAACAATTAACCTAGTGTATATTCTGCAACTGAATTGAGCCAATTCAAAAATATTTTATCATTTTATGGTCTGTCTGACGTCCATCTGTTATTATAATATTGGTCCAAGGTTATATCAACCGCATTATATAATCCACCGACTTGACTCGAAACAGAAAACTAGCTAAAAAAACACCAGCATGTATGACTGCTGCAACCACTGCACACTGCAATTCGCCAACGTAGATATCAGATAAGACGGTCGACTGACGGCAAGATACGAGATAACATATCGATACAAGGTCACGGTTCTGATAATCAGAAAGCACAGGCAGCTAGAAGGAATCACAGCAGTGTGTTAGCCAGACACAGAGACCCGTCTACCCGTCTTTTGGACGGCCTATTCTTGGACGAGACGGATGAAATTTGATAGAGACGGCATGAGGGCGGCCCAATTTTATATATTATACACCTTGTATTTATAACTGACAACGGTGCTTATGAGAAAATAAATGTCTTTTTGGCAATTCGGACTAAATTTCCTCCATTTTAAGGTAAGGCCCTCCCCCTATTTTTTTTCCTGGCTAACACCCTGCATCACAGCACACGTTACGGGTCATACTCGCAGAACCCGCGCAAGTGTAACCTTACATAAGGTAATCCCAGACGGGGCAATTCAGACACTTAGTCACAGTTTGGCTAGCAAACAGCATATGTAACCTTCAAAAAGCTATTATCTTGTCTGTAGTGCCCTGCAGGCTTTTTATACCAGACACACGGCAGGTAGTAAGTGACAGTCTATACTGAAACAAGTGCCGCGGAGCGACAGCGCTCATCTCACGTCTACTGCGGTGACTCTGTGGTAGAGTGGTGGGATTCTAGTAAACCCTGTTAATCCCAAATGTGTTCACATACACGCCGAAACAGTGGAAGGCACAGGGATGGTATCAGGAACCTTCTCAAAGGAATGTTCGTTGGGATCGTTATGAAAGTTGCCACGAGATGGTGTGTACGTTTAAGTGTCTTAAAGGCATAGTAGGTCCATCGATTATGCAAAGT